AAGATGCATACATGAATAGTGCATATAAAACACATATAATTTGCAATTTGTGCACACTAATACATACAAATTTCTGTGAAGACTAAAAGAATTGCAACCTGATGCAGAAATGGGACAGAATGAATTCAGGAGTGAAAAGACTGATGCTCTGAGCAAAGTCAAGATTGACAGATTTGCCCATCCCGATTTAACAGAGTTTCAGGCTGGAGTCTTTCTTAGTCTTACTTAGAATTGAATATGGGACCTTTTACATGCAATATATCCACCATCAAGTCACAGTCCTTTCAAACTTCAAGTCTCCCACCTGATCAAGAATTAACAGCCACATTGGCCACACAGTCAAGTGCTGAGATCATTCTCTTGCACCAACTAGCATTCCTACTGCTGAGTAAGCTTTTGAATTACACAGAACTCAGAACTTCAGGCATTAGTGTTGCACAAGCAACTTTTTATTTAGCCTGATGTTACTACAATAAAGCTGAACACTCTGAAGAAGAAGAAGAAAAAAGGAAATGCGCAGGACTGTTTAAAACAAGAACTGCATTAACTTAATTTAAAACAACTTAGTTTCTTCAGAGTTCCCTGCTGAATTGCCCTGTGCAGAAATTTTCTGATACTCTGTTTCTAAGCAATAAGCAATGCCAAATGGGTACTATCTAAGGTATTTAAATATCTAAAGAATTTATTGATTTGATTTTTAAGGGGAAAGAAGGAACACGGTTTTTATTTACAGGTGTATGGTTTTCTATTTAAATCTACTGTAATGAATGCATTTTCTAGCAACCCACCCCTGCATAAAAACATGGCAGCAAGGATTAAAAATATTTTGACATCAATTTAACAAATAAGAACATTCTTGTTTCTGGTGCTACTGCTTACATTACTATCTATCAATCAATCCTGTTCTCCAGGAAATGTACAAATTGCAAAAGAAGCACATTTGAACTGCTTCAATCTCATTTGCACTATCAGTTATCTCAGGAAACAGCGCTAGTTCTCATCAACTGAAGATTTGTGGGAAGACCAAGGCCAGAACACAGCAAAGCCTCTTGGCAAGTATTCAGAATGGTTGCAGATAGTGACAGGGTAAATTTGCTTGTATCATCCTTCAAGACTTGCTGCTGGGAAATAACAGCTCTAGAATAAAAACTGTATAACCCCAAGCAAGTAAACAAAGTCACTGCATTTGTGTTTAATATTGGCAAGGATTACCATGTACTGAATTCAGAGTAACTGGTTAAGTTACTTGTCTTTTCAGCACCAGGTTAAGATGGTCCTTTATGCTGAGGCCTTTTAGACACTGGGGTTTGAAGGGGATTACCCATCTCTGGTGTTTTTGTACAGAGTCATTCATTGTTTATTTTGCTGTTTTAATTTTTTAAAATGTTTTTCTAATATGTTACTGTATTTTATAGGGTTGTTTTCTGGATTGTCATAAGCTGCCCAAGGAGCTTCAGCTCTGTATAGCTATGGAGCTATACAGAAATGAAATGGATGATGATGATGATGATGATGATGATGATGGAGGAGGTCAGAGGGCAAAAAAGAAAATGATCAGAGGATCGGAAACAAAGACCTATGAGGACAGATTGAAAGAGCTGGGCATGTTTAGCTTTGAGAAGATTGAGGAAAAATCTGATAGCACTTTTCAAATACTTGAAAGGCTGTCTCACAGAAGAGAGCCTCAGTTTCTTCTCCATCATCCCAGAGTGCAGGACATGGAATTATTATTACTATTATTATAACATTTCTATGCCGCCCCTTGCTGAAACCTCGGGGCGGCTTACAACACAATAAAATACATTGAAATACAATAGAACATAATAAATTACCATTAAATACAAAAATACAAAAAATACACTGAGTTACAAATATAAAATTAAAATTATCAGTATAAAATAAGTAAATAAAAATATAGGAGGAGAAAAGAGAAGGAAGAAGTTGCCCTGGCCAGATCATATGTTTTAACAATTAAAATGATGTTTAAATAAAAAGGTCTTTACCTGGCGCCGAAAAACCAGTAACGACGGTGCCAGGCGGACCTCTTTGGGGAGTGAATTTGGGGAATAATTGGTTGAAGTTGCAGAAAGCCAGATTCTGCGTAGATATCCAGTAAATTTCCTGTTAGAGCAATACAACAATGGAACCAATTGCTTGTGGAGGTTGTGGGCTCTCGCACACTGGAGGCATTCAAGGGGCCGTTGGACAGCCATCTGCTAGGAATGCTTTGACTTTGGAGCCCTGCACTGAGCAGGGAAGTGGGACTTGAAGGCCTTATAGGCCCCTTCCAATTCTACTATTGTATGATTCTGTGATTCCAGGAATTATTCACTTCAGTATTAATAACCATGAAACAATTAGCAACCAATTCCTAAGCAAAGTTTTATAAAAGGCCTTCCCATCAAGCAATTATTTTTGAATTTTCAAAGTTTCATTCAGAACAACAGACCTTCAGATTGAAACAGCAAAAGGTTCTTCCTCTTAGATGCTCTTACGCTGCACACTACCCTACTAAAAGCACAGGATACTGTTACACAACAAAGCAGCTGGAGAGATTAATCCTGATTAAGGAGACGGAATTACATGCAAAAATCCATCTAAAAGCATGCAGATGAGTGTAAAGCATTGTGAGAAAACAAAAGGTGTCTCGTTGGATTGCATTGTATTGAATCAAGGCATTTCATGCATTTGATGCTTTGCCTGCAGGCACCATTCATCACTTCCGAGATGCAACAGCAGCATCCCCCATCACACTCCCATAGCATTGGTAATACACCAATCCAGTTTTGGTAGCTTGATAAACTGTAGATGATAAATAAGAACTACTCTCATTTGAACTACTCCAGTATGAATATATGGCACGGTAGGAAACTGATTCAGCCAGATGCCAAGTAGCTGTTTGTCTAGCAGCTAGAGTCTAGCTGTTTCTATTCTCATCTGTATTTCTGCAATGTGGTAAACCGTATATGGAATGTGACCAGTAGATAGCTATATGGTAAAGTTGCAGCTTTCCCTAACCCTGTACCCACCAGACCCGTTGTTTTGGGTTACAACTTCCAGTTCTTGACCATTAGCCCTGCAGGCTGTGGTTGATAGAAATTGATTTAAAGTCCTCTGGAAGGCAGCAGGGTGAGGAAGGCTGGTGCCCTTGAGATGTGCTACAACTCACAAAATCCCAGTTAGCAAACCATCGGCCATATTGTCTAGCTGTAGTGCAGTGCTTCCTGAGGGCATCAGATAGGGGAAGGCGGCTCTACAGGATTGAGGTATGTATCACATTTTGCATTTACCAGTCTTGGGATATAATGAAATTCTAAGAGCCCATCATGGGCAAATGTGGAACCACAGATCACATGCAAACCATCCTGGGCCATTGCTCCTAGTGTGGAGCTCTAGCAGCAAATATATATATATATAGGGGACCAAAGTGGGAAGCTTCTGAACCCTACAAGAGGGCATCTGGTCATTCAGAAGTTGCACATGGAAACACACTGGCTTGTTTATAATTTTGGGTTATTCTCTATAGTTTTGAGTAATAAAAATGCCAGCTTAAGATTGCAGGACACATTAGCTTTGTTGCTTACACTACGGACACACAAAGGCAAAGATAAGTATAAAAATAATACTAAGGTTAACTTTAGTATTTTACATTGTAGTCTATATGGAATACACCGAATTCCTCCATTCGTGGGCCAATACACACATCTTAGCTCCACTTATCCAACTGTAAAGTATTCAATACTTCAATCCAGCAGGATATATCACTTCTGTACTGTCATTCCCATTTTAAGGACATTATACCATGGAGGTTTCCACATTAGCAAATCATGTTCAAGGAGTCCATGTGTGAATATCCCAGCACTCTTCTGTCTTTGCTTTCTGCTTCCAGGTAGTGACATTCTCTATAGTGGAAACTGATACTCAAGGAAGAAGAAATGCAGCATCCATTACCATGACGCTCAAAAGAGTATACAAGTACAGATACTGGGCAGCAATCCTCTTTAACCCTATGACTCTTCAACCCTCACATGCCCTTGTACCATTCCTATTCAGGGAAAGTTAAAGAACTTTGAATATTGTGTGGTGGTTAAAATGAAATATGACTGGAAAAATGTGACCCACAGACTTTTAGACTCCTCAAAACATGCATCATCCACTTCATCAATTGCTCTCAAATGGCCATTCAGAAATTACCCCCACCCCTAACACCTTGTCAATACAGGCCTTTATCACATCATTGTACCATTATTATTATCACAATGTAGTTACATTTTAGTTATTTCCTTCTTTTTTTCCTCTTGTGAGGAACTCAAGGCACCCTACATAGCTCCATTTTATCCTCAGAACTATTTTAATTTTAATGGTCTTCCACTGGATAGTTAAACCTTGTTTAGGAATGCTTTTAGGTAAATGGCTTTAAGCTCCTCCACTGTTTGTAATTTGTATTTTAATCTTCTGCCGTAATATGTTTAACTACTGAGGAATTAAAGTGCTTGAATGGCCACCTGTTTCTTTGTATTCTTATTTGTTTTCAGTTAGTTTATTTTGTTTTGATTTGTTTTAATCTGTTGCTGTTAGACACCTTGAGGTTTTAAAAGAAAAAGTAGGACATACATGTTTCGAATGAACAGATAACCAAGGTTTTTCATAGAGGCCAGCAGAGCAGATGTCAACGAATTCTGACAAATATTAAAAAGGTGAGAGGAGACAGGGACTGCAGCAGGAGAAAAGGGAATGTCCGCCTTCACTTTTTGTAGCAATGTATTTGCCAGCATTGGTGGTCAGTTTAACCTGGATGTGTCACACAGTGAACAGTGCTAGATTTGGATGGGAAGACTTTGGTTCAGATCCTGACTCATGATGCTCACTTTGTGTCACTGGCTTTCCTAACATCTTGCTGTTCGGAGGAGGAGTGAATGAAAACAGAAGCCATGGATGTTGCAATACAATGTGCAAAGTGATTGATATAAACATAGATGAATGATCAGAAAGACTCAATCTCATGTTAAATACTCTTTAATATGTTTTTTTCCATGATCTAATATACAAATGCAAAGGCAGTAAAGTACTCCTTCTATGCAAAACTGGATGAAATACATTGAAGTCAACCTTCTGTAATTTAATTAAATAATCCTCAAGAGCAGCCTGGAAAAGAAAGGAGACACTTTATTATTAAACTGAAATGCCAAGGTATTGACAAGCAATAGGGACCTGTGGGCCAAAGGATCTGGTGGATCACATCTGATTTAGAAAATCCATGGGCTACTGGTTATCCATTGCCAATCCAGGTTTTGGGGTAAAAATACAGCAGGATTACTTACTGTACAGAGAAAAGCAGGAAATGCTTTAACAGGGACATCCTTCCTGAAGGATCTCGCCTGGAGGGAGACCAAAAGCATGTTACAAGGAATACCACCAAATACTGAGCATACTGGTAGTCGCTGAGATTTTTATGTGCTGGATATCAGCAAATGTATTGCTATGCACCGTAAAGACATGAAATTAACAGATCCAGAGGCTCATCCAATTTAAACTTGAAGGTCTGGCTGACACTGAATGTCACTTCGCAAACTTAGTTTATCAATGCAGAGTAATGAGGATGCCTACAGAACCAAATAATGCTTATGATTTTCAAAGTGAATACATTACACTGGGCAGAGGAAAAACAAAATAACATGTTAGCAGTAATTACAGCGCAGCAGCTCTACCATTCTGAGGACATCCAACTGCATGAAAATTTGAGTCCCCAGAAAGAAGCTGAAGGTGGTTTATTTTGCCCTCTGCTGGTCATAAATAAGGATTGTCTATGAAAGTTTACATCAAGCTTTGTTGTCTTTGAAAGTTTACATCAAGCTTTGTAAACACCCATCAGTTTTCAACAATATCTTTTTTTTCATTTTCAACAACCATTCATTCCTGAGCATTACACAATGCTCAATCATTCATTCTTCCTAAGTATACAGCCCCTCTCACCTGTTACCCAAAACTTGTACTGACGCTAAGAATGGCAGAGAAATCTGCAAAATGAGTTTTGGATTTCTATCAATGTGACCTGCAGATTCCACAGCAGACTGGCTTTTTCTCAGTCAAGCAAATGTTGCACTCTTGTAGACCAATTATCACTTTTAATGTGCATCTGTGCTAACACACAGTAATGCAAGTAAAATGATGTTCTGGTACATCTAATTTAATTCCATCAGTGAGTAGACGATGGAACAGAAGATTCCTGGCAATCCACAAAACATGGAAGGAGTGAACCTAACACTATCCATACATTCCCAATTGACCCAACAAGGTACACTCATCATAAACCACATGTTCCAACTACAGCAGACAACTCTGAAAATCCGTATCTTTTGACTATTAAATGAGGATGATACCTCGCTATTTCCTTTGTCTTTGTCCATGAGGTGGTGCAGGGAATAGGAAGGGGATGAAAGGCAGAGCCAATTGATTAACACTGGCTGAAAAATAAGCATTCATTCAACAGGGAAATCAGCAGCAGAGCAGCTTGCAAGGGGAGGTGGAGGGCAACAAACCAAAAGTAACAGCTGAGCCTGCACAAAAGGTCCTGTCTGCACTGCATCACATTACAGTATAAATAGGACAAGTGCAGATCACAGAACAAAAGGAAACGTGTAGGGCACTGCCTAGTAATTCAGACATAGCCTGAATCAGAGTATCAATTATAATTCTGCTCTATTTATCTGTGTTTGGGCTGGGAATGCACTCCTAGAATCCTGAGGAGTACAAGAAAGAAATAATTTGCTTCACAACACCTGCCAGTGGCATCCTCGGTGAACACAGTACCTGGGCTGAAATGCAGACAGCACCAACTACTTGAAGCAGGTTCCAGGAGACATCTCTGAAAACCATCTGGACAGATGTTACTCAGGGACTAGCTTTGGGCAAAGCCACATCCAATGTTACTCTCTTTTTTTTTTTTAAAGATGGCCACTTTCATCTTAAAGAAGATGCTTCCACATGGTCCTCCCAGATTTTGACCATCCTCCCAATCTAGTCAGGGGGCCTGCATCAGTTTTCTAACATCTCCTGCCCCATTTACTTTTGAAAAGGCCATTTTCTGCAGATAGCATCTTTGGGTACAAACGGAAGCCAGGGAATGGCCAATTATCACCATGAGACTGGCACAGAGCCCTGATTTGGACAGCATTCTGGACTAGAGCCCTGCAGCTGCTTTTGCAGAAAAATAAAAGAAGTCAGCTTAAACAGGCTTTTTTAAAAGCACAAACACACAACTTTGTGTATCCACGTAAGCGATCCAGATCATTCCCAGATAAAACACATAAGTGGGCCAAGCCATCATGGATATAAGCAATCAATCACAGCAATTACAGAGACGTTTTTTCTAGTCGGTATGTTCACAGTTCCTCCAACTACATTATCAACAGTTGCTTAATTTGTTCACTGCATTTGTCCACATGTCCTACAGTTGCTGTACTGCTGAAAGTTGTGTGACCGGTGCAAAGACATCAAGTGAACTACATGGCTTGGTAGAGAATAGAACCCAGTTTTCCGGAGTCCCAGTCCTGCACTCTTAACTACTACACCACATTGGTTTACTGTAGAAGTATTTAAAAGGAGAATTTAGAAGCTTCTTTCAGCTTTCCACCCCAAGCAAATGCCCTTAAAAAAGTGCATTGTTCCACCAATTTGGAAGTGGTGCTCTATTGTTTAGGGAAAATCTGTGTTTTGATAATTTAAGGCCTTGTATGTTTAGCATAACTTGTGAAACTATCACACCAACAATCACCAACAATTTGATATACTATGTGTAATATTCATGTTCTGGATAGGTGTGATTATCTATAAAGTCTGGATATCTCAGAGCCTTTCTTAACCAAGTGCCCTGCAGGTACCCTGGGACTACAGTGCCTATCATTCTTTGCTAACATAACTTTGTTCAGTAATACCAAGCCTATCAGTATTCATGACACTCTTTATATTCTAAATTTCTGAATGGCTATTTCCACCCCGCTCACTCCTAACAAAATGAAAGCCAACTGATGCTCAAGCAGCTTTGTTATTATTTTCCCAAGGTTCCCACCCTCCCCCTGAGAGAGACCAGGAGCAGGACTGGGACCCACATTCATCCTCCCTTAGGGAAAAGCCAGAGGTGATAGTTAAAAGGATCTTTGAAGCTACTGCTTGCGCTGAGAAGAAATGCACCACTGGTGCAAAGGGGAATGTTAAGGGTTTCTTCCCAATGCAAAAGACAAATACACAAGAAAGGGTTAACTTCTCCTTTCCTGCCAGCTGCCATCCCAAAAATTATTAGCAACTACCCCCAGAAGCTGCCATCTGCAGTAAAAGAAACATAAATGTTAAATGCAAGAACAAACCTACTTTCCTAGTCCCCTAGAGCTATATTATACTTGATGTACCTAGCAATCAAAGCTCATACTGGTTATCAACAAACAAGTTGTACAGAAGCTTAAAGTAAGGGACCACTTAACATAATCAACACTGTTGAAGAAAAATCCAGAAACTCACGTGTTCCAGATGGACATGTGCCTGACTGGCTATGTCATATATGACATTTTTCACTTTCTTCTCCTGATTATATCGTATGAAATCTTCTTGAGAAACACCATGCTAATGTACCAGAGAGGAAAACAAGTTATACACTTTGTGGTAAATAAATTCAGAAGAAATCAAATGTCAATCCTGATGGCATATTACAAGCTGCAATTGTAATATTTAAAATTAACATTTAAGTATCATAAATACTCTACAAAGCTTAGCCTATATTAGACCTAAAGAGCTCCTTTCACAGAAATACCTTCTGGTGCAGTTTGACAGTGCTCTCAGAATACCTAAGTTGGTGCCATGCCAGGAAACCTTATCTCACTCTCCCAGATCTGTAACATACCCTTTAGAACATTCTACAATTTATTGATTATGTAAACACAGTCAGCCACTTCATTTAGCCTAACAGTATGGCTAATCCTGAGAGTACCATGCCTAAATGCATCTTAATTTAACAAGGCAATCAAAATGCGATTAATGTGTATATTCAAAAAGAGTTCTGTTTCAAATTTCACTTATGATTTTGCCTATTTCACACTGATTTTCTTCCCCATAACATGTAGCAACCACACCTCCTGAGGCCCCATGTCACAAATGCGAGCAGTGTGCTGTCAAAACATACAATAATATCTGCTTCAAGGTTCTGCTATTTGCTACTTCTTTATCTGACTGCCAAAATCCAGCTACATGGTCAGTCCTTCAATGAAAGAACCATAGTAATTGTCCAAACCCAGCAAAGCCTACATTAACACTCTAATACAGATGCTGTTACATCTGGAGTTAGAATATAATGTATGGGTACCAGTATGCATTGAATCTCAGCTATATTTAGTCTTACCAGCATACATATGTCCATCGGGAGAAACACCTTCCTTCTGCTAGCATGGAAAGGAGTTGCTCTTAAACAGGTTACAATGCCTTGAGCCTTCCCAATGTGACTGGCTGCATGGTCAGCATGGATGTCCTTCACACCTGGTCTTACAAAAATAATTTCAGCAAAACTGTGGAAGAAATCCTAAGCAAACTTATGGGAATGTACAATCCACTGAAGCCAAGTACACCTGATCAAACAACTAATCTAAACTAAGACCACAAACAACTCTAATACAACACTTGGATTTCCACATTTTTAAGATGTTTGTGGTAGGAATCCACAATGACCCTATGCTATAGGACAAGCAGAGGGTTTCCAACCCTGTATTTATATAAGAGCCCACAGCAGCAAAACCACATGGAATCAAGCACTAATACTGCCAGTGCAAACAATAAGAAGTATGAATGCCTGTGGTGATATTATATTCATTTTTGTACATCAGGTGTGGAAAATTCAATCAAGATCTCAGAGATTATAAATAAAGTCAAAGAATCCAAAGGGCCTCAACCATGGGGCCAAGCTCTCAGATGCAGTAGGCAGACTTCAGGCTTGCAGAACCCACTCTGGGGGGGGGGGGGTTGGTTTATTTTTTTTTACTACAGCTCCAAGATCCACCAACTAGAACTAGGTGCAATACAGTGGTTGGAGCATGCATGGAGGCAGATGCAAAATGACTCAAAGGGTGAAGCCAATGTCCTACCACACCTCTGGACCAGGGTAACCCACACTCAAGGGCCGAGTATACAGAGTGTGTGTTGTTACTGATCCATGGGTTATTATGTTGTCTGAACCCAGCTGAGAAAAGACCCATAGTTCACAACCAAACAACAAATCATGGATTCTCTTGAGGGGTTGCTTGTGGTTAAGCCATGGCTTGTAAGTGCAGCTGGGTTCAGACAACTTAATAACAAATGTTTAAACAACAAACCAGTTATTCAACCCTCAAGTGTGGAGATTGTGTTGTCCTGATTGCAGGATGACCTTCATAGACAAGTAGAAATCTCCATCAGAATTACTAAAGACCAGGGAGCCTAGGTTATTTTAAAAATTGGAACTGAGCTCTTGGTTATGTCAGAAATCCATTCATGATTTTAGCCCCAAGTTTCTTAATTTCAGCCACATGATAAACCCCAGTATCACTGCTGGTACCAGAAACTCTTGTTCATAGGTCCTCAAACTACAGCCCAGGGGCCGGATCCGGCCTGCCATGCCCATTTATCCGGCCCACCATGCCCATCTGGACCCGCTGGGTACGCGCCCACGCAGGAGCCCACCGCACGTGAGGGGCAGCGGTTTGCTTGCTCAGAGAAAACAATCTCCAAGTGAGCAAGTCGCTGCCTCGTGCGCCCACCTTGCGGCGCATGCCCACCCCGTTTCCCCTCGCCTCCCCTTGCCGCATGCGCCTGCCCCGCCTCAGGGCACGCGCCTGCAGGCGCCGCCCCCACCCCCGCCCCTCGTCGGCCCACGCACACTGCCAGTACCACCCTTCCGGCCCACGCCCAGCACCGGCGTCTCTCAACTGGCCCCCTGGTGACAGAGCGTGAGGACCCCTGCTCTTGTTGATCCACTGCACTTCATACTCAAGCAGTAGATTTCAGCCTGCCTTCTTCTCACCCCTGCTCTAAGCACATTATTAACTTTCTTGAAATAAGTGCAACAATTCGATTGATCTGTTGTGTGCAATTGCAATCACAGACAGAGGCTACAATCGAAATCCTGTAATTGTGTGTATAGCATCCATCTTTGAAAGGCAAGTGCCTGATAACCAAACCCGCACCTACCAAGTGTTTCCAGCACGAGATAAAGCAGAGTACTCTGTGTGTTTTCTGCATACATCTCAAGTTCACTGATATCCCGATATGGTCTATCATCCAGATTTTTTTCCTAAAAAACAGACAATGCACTTATTTTCAAAAAACCAGGGTGAGTTATTTGAATAGACATAAAAAACAAGCTCAATCATAGAAGAACAGTGCATACTAGAAAGCCATTTTTGTTCACAAGGCGTGCACACACACCCCTTCATAGTTCTAACTGCAAGCTTTCAGTGGCTTTACACTACACACAGATCTTCAAGTGGTGGGTTAAGAGCCACACATGGGTTATAACATAATTTCACAGCCTAGATTCCTTTAAAACAAAGAGAAAGGCAGAGAAAGAAGAAATGGGGAGAAAGCAGTGGCTAGGTACAGATGACAACAACATATCTTTAGCAGATGTGTAGAAAGCATTTCAACAGGTGACATGTCACCTGTCAAAATTCCCTCTACTACAAAGGTAGGAGGGAGGGAGGAGAATTCTCAGCATGGCTGGCTGGGGACTGATGGGAGTTGATGGACTTGTGTGTGTAAACATGCACAGAATGTGTCTTTATACAGTTCTTCTCAGTCAGCCCTAGTGTCTGTAGGAATGTCTAAAGTACTTCATTTGTTTTCCAGTTTTAAATATGCAGATTAAAAAGAACTAAAGTGACACGAATGCAGATTGTTATATTTGTAAAGAGAATCTTACCCTTTCATCAATAATCTTCATTAGCCACCTTTTGGTCAAGTTTTGCCTCTTGATTGCCTAGAAATGTTTAACACAATGTACTCATTTAGAAAACATGGAAAAACCAAAGTAGGACACTCAAGAGGAAGCAGATGACATGCTGGGAGGGGAAAAAGATTTACAGCAACTTTTATTAAGTCACATTTATGCCCACTTCATTGGCAGCTGCATGGGAGAGGGAGAACCGGGAGCGTGACCACCACTGCAGAGTGCTCGAGTGGGCTGAAGCGAGGGACACTGAAGGACGCTGGAGTGGGCAGAGGCAGAAGTCCATCACCAGTCGAAAGCAAGAGGTGGGGATGATCCCAGCAGAGGGGGGATGTTTGCAAGTGACTTCTTTCTGCTGGGATCTGAGCTGCATTCTCCTAGGCCTCCTCCCGAAGAGACTGAGCAGGACCTGGCTTGTCCCAGCCTCAGTCAAGGCAGATCCCAGGGCAACACATGCTGCTAGACCTCCTTCCAAGAAGACCCATCAGAATGTGTGTCTTCCCTGGCCAAAAGAGCAAGTAGACAGGGCAGGGAAGAGGACGTGGATTCAGCTAGCTGGCTGAAGCTCCCTCCCCTCCCCAGCAGCCACTAACAGCAGGTGGGGAGTGCCCTCACAGCAGTGTTTGCAGGAGCACTCCTGCTCACAACGTCTGCCAAGGCTGCACTGAACTGCCAGTCCAAGCGCAACGGACAGCGGAGGTCAGGGAGCCTGACAAGAGCCAGCACAAACTGCCGCCTGGGCACTCCATGGTAGCTGCCGTCAGAGACATTTTGCAAGATGGGCAAGTTTTCTATGCTGCTCTTGCCAAGAGGCTCTGTGGCAGTTTCGGCTACCTCGGGACTTCTTGTGACATCCAGGTTCAGACAACACGAGCCCATAGGTGACTGTGAACACCTACTAGCACCCATGGCTTGTTGGGGGAGCTTCAAAGCCATGCCAAAGCTATTCCAGGGGAAGCACACCAAGCTACTGTGAGTGGCTATGCAGCTATGAAGCCACCAGCACTTCCTGTGCTACACAAACCTTGTCTCTGTCTCCCCTCGGGCTTCCCCTCAGGAAAAAATAAAATGAAGTAGCAAACACAAGCAAAATGCCCATGACTGGTAAATCAAAACAACATATTGTTATTGTATTTATAATATATTGGATTTGACAGTTACGGAGAACAAAACAGTCCAGTTTATATGCTTCAACACCCAACGTTTATTGAACCTACTGTACTGTCTTTGTTCAACTCTACTACCACATAAGCCCAGAAGAGCAGCAACCCTCTGCTGCCCGAGTTTTTGTATATTGGATTGTCACAGAAGCCCAGAACGTTCAAGAAGCAAGAGGTGGTAACTGGTCTAGACAAAGCCATTTTCATGGGATGAAAAACTGAAATGAAAACGCATGCTTGATTGCTGACTTTATTGCAAGTGTAGTTTTAGAATGCTTAGCATGAATGTAATTGCAGCTATGTTATATTTTAAGTGCAAGAGAAATGTTACGTTATTTATGTGTTTGATTTTAAAAATCTATTTTGGGGATATGTTTGAAAATATTTTTATTCACCTTGAAAAAATGACTTTATAGTGAAGTCATATTTTCTGCACATCCAGAGTCCCACAAGTAGTGAAGTCGGCAGACATTTAAATTAGGCTCTGCAGATCACACAATGTTGAAATGAAACACTTGCAGTCCCAGTACAGTTACATCCAGTGCTGGAATCACACTTTTATTTTTTCCCCCCAATTTATATTCTGCCTTTTTCCTCAAAGGGCTCAAGGCAGCTCACATCATTCTCCTCCTCCATCTTATCCCCACATCAGCAACCCTGTGAGGTAGGTTGGGCTGAGAGTCTGTGACTGGCCCAAAGTCACCCACTTGGCTCCATGGCCGAGCGGGGACTAGAACCCGGATCGTCTGAGTCCCAGTCCCATGCTCTTAACCATGACACCACACTTGCAGGGATTATTGATCCCATAACAGCAGCAGAAATACTGGGGGGCCATGGGAAGGCCATGCGTCCCTCCCTGCTTTTCTCCTGACTGCCCTATCACCAAGGGGCAAGTTCTGTTTTGCCTGCAATGTTAGATCAGGCTGATGATCTCTTCCACACAGTGACCTACCAGCTGTCCATAGAAACCCCACAAGTAGAAAGAGGTGCCGCAATCCAGGCTTTATTGAGCATACATGTGAAAAAACCTGCATATCAGAAAATGTAACAAGGCATTGAAAAATTATTTTTACATATCCTGACCTAGAACTGTTACAGAAATATGTTTAGTATAGCAAGAGTAGACAGACTTTGGGCTTGCACAATCTGCTTTGTTCTTTCTTTCACTCTCTCAAACCTGAAATCAACCACCTGGAGAGTGGCGCAAAAGACCTACTGTTAGACTCAACTAAATCTGCACTCAGGAATTTGTTTTGAGCAATGGAAGTCAATGGATCTCACAGTCTTTGCTCAAGCAAATCTACTTCTGGTTACCCCAAGTATTCTCCATTTCAACCTTATAATTTCAGGAAGGTGAAAGTGAGGTGAGGAATGCCATTTTGCTCCTCCTATAATTAAACCATCAGAAGTAAGAAATCCTTGTGACTCTGCTGCAAATCACCCAGAGATCTACTAGTAAATTCAGATTTATGTTCTGCCACCCGTGTTATGTTAACCAAAAGTGCAGCTGAGGGTGAAAAATGGAGGAGGGGGGCATGGCCAATGCAGAATGAATGTCTGATTAAGTCATACCAAAGTAATAGCATGTTTAACTCCATATGTAAGTCAAGCAATAAAAACATAGTATGTAATGCGTATGACAGAAGAAAAGTTATTACTTGAGCAGCACCTCTACTTTGAGACACTGTCTGCCCTTTTTGACCCATGAAGAATAAAACCATGACTCATATAATGGGCGTTCAGAAAAACAAGCCAGGACAGGTCCACAAATTTACCATGTATGGTAAACAAGCTGTACTGGATTTGAAAAGGAAAGGGGGAGACAAAAGCTAAGCTCACAAGGTAGCTGTGCAGAAGGACTTTGGAACAATGATCAGAGTCCTTTCCTGGAGGGAGACACCAGTGACCACAAACAAAGAGAGGTGCTTGCTCACCGGTGTTCAGCCATCTGTTGCCACAGGCATATCATCCCACAGAGCAAAAGCGTGGGCAACAGCAATGCATAGTGATTAGAGCACTGAGTTAAGACGTGAAAGACCCAGCTTCAAGGCCGCTCTTTGGTATGACCTTGAGTCAATCATTCCCTCTCTCGCAGCTAAACCTACCTCAGAGAGCTGTTGTAAGAATAAACAAGGGGGTGGAAAACCATCCTTAGATGAAGACCAGGACTGACACTTCATATATAATGCATAACGTATTTTAAACAGAGAAGTATCCTCTCTGCAGCTAAGTGCCCTCATGCCCACTTTTCTCTAAGAATAGGGATGGGTGGAGTTTGCATGTTTAAAGCTGAGCCTCCTATACTGATTTGCTGCCCTTCCCAATGTCTCCAAAATTCCTCCCACCCCAACCCGTGCAACAGTTTTGCATGTTAAAAAACTGACAACGTAACCACAACAAGAGATGAATTACTAACTCAGTGGTACAGCACATGCCTTGCATGTGGAAGATCGCAGCATCTCCTGGAAGAGCCGAAAAAGCTACTGCCTGACCTGAGGAGCCACTGCCAGTCAGAGTCAACACTACCGGGCTAGATGGTCTGACTCAGTGTGAGGCAATTTTCTATGCTACTAATGGGCAAACACATGAATATCCACACTAAAAGGCAGCCACTTCAACCAAGGCATGTCAGTAGGAGTGAGAGGCTTAAGGCCAATGAACAAGTTCTTGATTTGCTGGTGTGCATCTCTGTACTTTCAGCTGTAGATCAGCTCAGGCACACAATGCAAGACCTGTTTTTATACTACATCCATCTTCACACACAACACAGTAAAAGCTCTTATTAGTTTTATATGTTACCCATGATCGTATATGACCAATGCTGTCTGTAAAATATTTACTACTGTCAGATGAAAAGAAGGATCAAACATTATACAGAAGCAGACAAACTACAAGATTAGGCAAATAAAACCAGCAGCATCAAAAAATATTAAAAGGGTAAAATTAAAAGCTCTTAAGATTACACTGCCTGCGAGAACAAAAAGGCTACACCTGGCATCCAAACACGCATTGCAAAGATGCCAAGTCAGACTCTCTGGAGAAGGCAGCATAAGCAAACTGGCCCTTGTGGAGTCTTTGGCATGGGCCTCTGAAGATGATCTTATGATCAGATAACCTGCCCCAAGGCCATCCAGAATGTTATAAGTTAAAAATAGCACTCTGAATTGAATCTGGAAAGGGGCCAACAACCAGTATGGACTTCAATGTGGCCACTGCTAAACAATCTCAAATTCTGCACTGAAGAGTCCATTATTCTTACAAGATCTTAATTGTTACAGCAGGCCTTTAATTCTATGAACCCCCACTGAGACCTTTAAAAAACATGCTCAATTTTTATAGTACTTGCTTTACAGTACAGCTTTCAATTTAAAATGCCCAATATATGCATCTCTAAGATTTGCTAAGAAGCATGTCCCAGGCATTTTTTAAAAATAGGGTCTAACTGCCAAGAAGAGCTACATATAATATTGCATTGCACTCCTACAATGTATTATATGGAAATCACAGTGATTTCAGTGGAACAAACTTTCACATTATGGTTTAGAACTGGGACACAAAACAACTGGGATGCAAAAGTGGCAGCTCAGTGGTACAACCTGCTGCAAGAGAATGTCCCTGGTACAAAAGCATGGCTGGAAAACACCCTGGAGACCCCAGAAAGCTGCTGTGAGTCAGAACAGCTTAATTTTCCCCAATATAAAAATGTTGATTTACAAATCAATTTTAATCCCAGTGTAATACCTTCCACAACTCTATTGCAACTGGTTGCTGTGGTGGTTTGTCATGGTATATGTCCTCTACAGCTTTCCTCCAAAACTGTATTCGCATTAAGCCAATGGTCTTCTGGGTTACAGAGTCTTTAATCTGGAATAGGAACATATGTTGGAGTGATGTGAAACTTCTTGATCTTATGCCACATTTGACGCAATTAGAAAAATAACTGAGCAAACAGAATGCTTTTATATATTTATTTAGGTCACTCCACTTACAGTTAATTTCAAAAGAAGGTTTCACATCCAAAAGCATTAGTTAAAAGCTGTAATTCAGAATATCCAAGTACCTTGAAGAAACTATGAGAAAGTCAAACTATTAAGAGAGTGACCATGTCTAGGGACATAAGAACGTAAGAAAAACCATGCTAGATCACAGCAAGGTCCATCTAGTCCAGCATTCCATGTACACAATGGGAAACCAGCTCTCTGCAGGATCATTCAAGCAGGATGGGTGCAAGACCTCCATCTGCCCAAGCTCCTCAGCAATTGATGTATGCAGGCATGCCACCTCTAGTGAAGGAGACAGCACTTAGCCACTAATGCCAGTAGTCATTGATAGCCTCTTCTTCCATGAATCTGTCCCTCCCCATCCAGATTGGTGGTCATCACTATCTCCTATAGCAGCATAGTTCAATTATACATTGTGTGAAGAAGCACTTTCTCTTTTTCTGCTTTAAACCTTCCCCCAGTCAGCTCCATGGGATGACCCTGGATTCAAGTGTTGTGGGACCAGAAGAAAAATCATGCTCTGATTCCCTCCCCACACTCATAACTGGAATGGGAAGAGCTGTGTAGCTGCCTCTCCAAAGACAGAAAATCCTCAGAAAGGAAGTAATGGAAGCATTTCTGGGGTGGGGAGGGGAAGAGGCTGGGGCAGCTTGGATATGGGTACCCAGATGGTGCTCCAGCCTTTCTTCCTCTGAAGTTGAAAATAGCCAGATGTCAAGATCAACTCCACCACTCCTTCTGCTCTGCAGTGGATGCTCATAAACCTTCAAACTTAGTGACTTGCAAGCATCAAGGACTCATCTGATAGGAATGCACCCTAGCGGAGCTTAGGAATGCCCTTTGGGCACTTACCCTATATACACCTACACTTATGTCAATAATTTCACTATTATGAGTGTCAAAATTCTACTGTGTATAAAACCCTGTTGACATGAAACTTGGCATCACTGATCTACTCAACGAGGGTTACAAGTGTGCAGAATGTCAAAATAATGATCCAATAAAACTGAAGAACGTTAAAAGGTATTGAAAAAATGAAACATTTCTACTTTTTACTCCAAGGAATGGCTTGGAATATCATATATTTCCTTCAAATTTTGATAAAAACTACTGATGTACTTTATGAAGGCATGTTGAACAGATGTTTTGCATTGTTTTGGTAAAGACCTGAGCAAGTTATGTTGGGCGTGCTGAGTTTCACCCAAGCAACCAAGGTTTTCAAGTGAAGTCTATTACAGAAGGCTTCTACATACACCGCACATTCCTTTCATTAAGTGACCAGACTATTACTACATGAATAGGCCCCTAGCATGAGGAAGAGCACAGGAAGTCTTTAATCTTTTGCTGGTATCCTAATCCACATGAGGTTCCATGAGCTCAAGCTGCACAGAGCCAGAAAGTGAGAAGCCGATTCTGATGCTTAACTAAGTTGCCCTGTGATCAGTGATGATGCTATGAATGTCAGAAATTGTGTTTGCTTACAATTTACCCTCCATGTACTTACACTGTTCCTGGGTCAGCAAAGGTTTCTCACAGGCTCCCTGTTACCTTACAAAGCATGCTAGAAGAGGGCACCCTCTCACTGTTTAAACCATCCTGCCACCATCCAATTCTTAAACCAATACTTAAATCAGATCCAGATGCTTTGTTAAGGGTGGTCCCAGGCACTCCATGCTCCCCCCCTGGACCTGAGACTGAAAGCTTAGGTTCAATTTGTAAACACACACAGTTTAAGTGGACAATCTAGGCTTATGCTTTATATTTAAGGGAAAAGTCCAACCTTTTATTTTTTTTCTTCCAGATGACATCCAGTTTAAATATACCTAGACATATGCCACATGTTAGGATTTCACAGATATTCTGGCCGCATCTGTATTGGCTAAGCTTGCAATGATCCAAAAGAGAGATCTGGGGACACAATGGATCACTGTAGTGCAGGAAATGGAAAATGCAGTGTTAGATTTTTTTTTTTTAATCAACATTTTTAATACATATTTCAATACCTGCCTGAGCCAGTTCTATATTGAATGCCTTCAGTGCAAATGCAGAAGAACGAGATCCTGCAGGCAACAGTAAGGAAGAGAGGAAGCCTTCATAGTCACGTTTCCTAGATGTGGAAAGAGAAAATATTTATTTATTTATTTATTTAAACAACTTATATGCCACCCCATCGCATGAGCCTCGGGGTGGCTTACAATCTTTAAAATCCCATATAAAATACAAAAAAATCATCAAATTTTTTCTTGTAGCAAGCTAAATGCCTGGCACCAAATGCCAGTTATAGAAGTAAAAATGTTCAGCAATTCTGAAAGATGTTCAGCTTGTGATACGGCAAGTCTCCATTGGAAGAACCTCCATAATTTAGCAATGGCTCTGTGAATAAGGAAGTTTCTAGGAAGGTTATTTTAATCACTCCTGTGGCTGGCATTAGTTGATGTTTTTAAATATAGGAAGGGACAAACACTGTCACCATCCCCTTTTTATTTCCTATTTTAATACTATTGTATCAATAAACGCTCCAGGAGCTAGCAAACACATCAAACTCCTCTTCTCAGAACACAAAATGACATCACATTATCACATTGCAGTGGCAGAATAGTATACTGAGTCATGGCAGTCATGACTGAATCATGAAACTCTTCACTTTCAACTTAGACTATAGTGGGAAGATTGGTATAATGCTGAGGAAAGGTTGGATACAAAAGTCATCCTGGCCAGAATGGGATGCAAAAGGAAGTATGGGGACACTGAAATAGTAGGTTGGAAGCATTTCCCTTTTATTTCCCAGGGACATGTTACCCAATCACTGCTACAGGAAGCTACAGATGAGGACTTAAATGAGCAGATAACTTTTCTTACTGCAATGTGAAAGCCCTGCTGAACAATTCTATTCTTGCCTAACATATATGATTCGTTTTGGAAAAAAGTCCCATAGGAAGCTCATTTAACATAAGCAAAGTCGTGCTTTAAAAAGTGTATCCTGTTCAAGTAAGACAGGATATAAGTTTCAAGCATGTTCCCTTCCGAGACCACAAAAGCCCCTTTGTGGTAGGGTTTGTGGTTCGTATTCTTAAAATCCATGGAATTGCTTGCAGTTCTATTCCCTGCCTGTCCTCTCACATTCACTCAGAACTCTACCACTGAGATAATTCAGATCTCTTCTCGCCTGGATCACAGGGCACTGCTCCTGAAACCCCCAAATTAGCTTTGCCTCTACTCCTGTCTCCAGAACAAGATTCTTGTCCTCACCTTCAAAGTCTTCCATGACCTTGTCAGCACCCCATCTCTTCACTTACGTGTCCCAATGACAGAGCTACCTATAACCTTTACGGCAATCTCTCTTCCCTCAAAGGACTACCCTTTTACCCTTGCTATTCTAAGCCTGGAGTTCTCTCCCCAGACACCTATGTGTTGTCACATCTCCTACTTCCTTCAAATTCCTCTGAACTCAAAACCTCTCCCCAAGAAACTTTAGGCACAACTCCTTAGGTTCCCCCAGCATCTACTTTAAGCTTAACACCGTGTACCAATAGTTGCATATCCTACTATTTACCTTTGCCTTCCCCTCCCACTGTTGTCTCCTGTATGTTACAGTTTTAGATTATAAGCTGCTTAGAACAGGCAGTTCTTGCACTCTACATAGAGTCACACACTTTGATGATACTGAATCAACTAAGCTAGTAGAATAAAGTGGGATCAACTGTACTAGGAGAAATAGATTTCCCCACCCATCATGCATAGGAGCCCTCAAGGCCCTGAAAATGCTACATAGAGCCAGGAGACTCTACTGAATGGGGCAAGCTGTACTGTGGTGGACACCTCTGAAAACTGGGCAGAGGGACTTTCTGCAAGATGAGCCCATTCTCTCATGCAAGACAGATCCTGGATCCTGCCCATTCTGTAATTTTAAACATCATTACAACATGAAGCATAGTAAACTCCCACATTAGTAACCCCTAAAACCTATTTTGTTTTTTACCTGCTATATTATCTGCTATTCTTTGCATAGCTGGACACACCTTGAATAAAGCTTTAATCATCTTATGGACACTTGGTTCAGCACTACAGCCTTCCTTTTACCTGGTGTTCTCCAGATACATTAGACTATACTACCACTCTACACGACTCTGGTGCACCAGCAATTGGAGTATTGTGTTCAGTTTTGGGCCTCTCATTACAGAAAGGATATAGCCAGGTTGGAGTCAGAGCAGCGTAGGGGCACAAGGTTGGTGGCAGGTTTGCAGGGGATGGGGTATGAAGCAAGACTGAGGGAACTGGGTCCCTTCAGCCTGGAGAAGAGGAGACTCAGAGGGGATATGTTGGCGACATACAGGTATGTGAAGGGATGTCACATGGAGATGGGTAGAGACCTGTTCTCCCCTGCAGAGGAAGGCAGGACGTGCTCCAATGGAGCAAAGCTCAGGGAGCCAAGGTTCCATTTGGATGCCAGGAAGCACTTCCTGACAGTTAGGATGCCAAGGGGGTCGTTGAGGCCCCATCGGTGCAGGTGTTCAAGGATAGGCTGGACGTCCACATGGTGGACATGTCATGAGTGGAGCTGGCTGGTGCCAGAGGTCAGACTAGATGGCCCGGGAGACCCCTTCTGACTTGCTCTGTTTCTATATATCCCATCAGCCACAAGATAGCCATGATAGAATAAAAACACGAATAACCATAAATTAATGTCCTGCTTTACTATCGGGCAAAACAAGA